GAAAGAATCGATTAATGAAAGAAATAATGAAATAAATATTATTTAGAATAAATCTTTTTAGCTGAGATAGAGAGAAATAGAAACCTGAGAAAAAGCCTGGAACAAGATTTTGGGAGAGGAGAAAAAATAAATAATTTCAATCAAGAAGAAGATAGTCTTAATATGATAACACGAGCAAGCTAAAGGAATTTCTTTAGAAATTTTTCTAAAGACAAATGGTTTAAGATGGCGAAATAATTGTAACGATTAAGGTCACAGCAGCCCAAGACAAGCAAAAGGAGGAATGATCCACAGCACACGCAAACGGATCGAGCTGACTAGTTTTTTCTTTTTTTTTTTTTTTTTTAAGGCAAGAACAGGATTTGAAGTTTTGATTACGGAAATTTGATGTTTTAAGGATAAAACAAAGATTTCGCCATGAGGAAAGAAACCCTCGAGGCGAGTACAAGTCTTTAAATATTATTACCTAGCTACAACCCAATTACGCTATTCACTGATTCTGCTGTCGCTATCTTCTTACAGATTAATATACAAATCTTCTCTTCTTTAATACTTCTTTACAGATTGATATAAATCTTCTTTCTTTTCGATAGTTATTTTCTTGATTCTTTTCTTGAAAAAATCCTCTTCTTTGATACTATTTAAAGTGTCGAGCCATTTTCTTTTCCTTCTTATAAGAATGCCAATCTTTTTTGAATTTTTCCCTACGTCATCGAACCACCTTTCTTAACTGAATTCATTTTCATAGTAATTTTTTGAATTTTGCTGTGTGTTGTGCCTGCTCGTTACACTGCAGTGTGACAAGCAAGTACTGCACTCAGCTGAACTCAAAAGACTTTCATGAAAATGATTTTAGTGAAGGAAACAATAAGGTGGATCCTCCTGGAAAAGCCCCTTTGGTCCTTGGGTAAATTTTCTCTCAGCAAACCAAGGATGGAGGCAGTAGAAAGGTTCCAAAAATTGAACAGTGTGGAACTACTCTTGGGATGAATAGAGCTTGAAAGGGATGGATGCTTTAATGGGCTGCCTCTCGGGTAAATACAATGAGTAAGGTAACAAGAAAATATAAGAGTATGGACTCTTAAGGAAAGGTGTGACTTTGGAGATTTCTTGAGGATGGTATGTCTAATATTTCTTATGTTTACTAGTCTAAATATATTTGTTCACAAACCAAGGTATCCCAAATATTGATGGCCATATATGAAGAATTTTGATTTTATTGCTAAAAAACTGAAACCAGAACTGAGAAAGAAAGGACAAGAAAATCAGATCAAAGAAAGAAAGAACATAGGAGAAGAGATGAGTGTACCGCTAATCTATACAAGAGTTAGAACTAGATGACTATACAAGAGAATATGAGAAAATAGTTTTTAAGGAAGAAGACTAAAAAGCAAACAACAGATTAACAGAAGATGAGAGAAAATGTTAGTTCTTTTGTCAACAAACAACAAGGATGAAAGAAGAAAAAAAGGAGACAAACAGCAAGAGGAATTGCTTTTTGAGATAGACAAGAGAGAGAGAGAGAAGGTTGAAGGGTTGGGTGCTCAGTCTAGACAGAAAAGGAAAAAAAAAATAAGAGGGGAAAAGAAGGGAGTCAGGAATCAGTTGGATCAGAGCAGGGCAATTGAAGTCCTTTACTTTATGAGTGTTGTCCCGGGGTTGTTTTTTGTTGATCAATGATTATTGAGAAGTCAAACAAGAATTGATGATTATTGAGAAGTCAAGCAAAAGTGAGAAGTTGAATCAAATCTCCTTACTGGGTTGGTTACAGAGAGAGAACCGGGTGACTTGGCTGGCCGACTTCTTAGAGCAGAGGTTAAACCTAAGCGGTTCATGTCTTTTGATTCCGCAGTCTGTGATCCTTGTTGGTGGTGTGCATGCAGTGCTTTCATGAGGTTACACAGGTGTGAAAACTCAACAGCCCTCCTTGTTTGTTGACGGAAGGACTGTCAGACACTTGTATTGAAGCTTTTTCAGGGAAGAGTGTGGGGCCGCCTTTGTTAACAAATCCGCAATCATGTCTTGTGAGGGTATCAGCTTAATGGGTCAACCCAGGCTTTTGGTTGAATTTTGACAGAATAGACACAGCAGAGGCCAAATCTGGCCTAGTTTGGCATGCCAAATTGTTCAGCATTCCAGTGTACAGACGGTAATTGATATTGAGTTTCAAGAAAGCTGCATGATTGTCATCTGTCGCGGTGTGTAATTGAATGGCAGGACTAGGAGTGAGTGGTGTCTTGACCGGTCAACAGTTTCAGAGAGATCCAATAGCTCCAGCCCCTTTTCAATTAGTGCCGGTTGGGCTAGTTTGATGGAGTCTGGTATGATATTGAGATTCATGCCAAGCAGAGTGTCAGGGGAGTGTGCCGTAGAGTTGGGAAATCTCTCAAGAAAAAAGTTCTTGAATTCTTCAGTCCGGCCAACTACTATGAGGTCGTCAACATGGAATAAAATAAAAGAGTTCTTATCCTTGTGGATAAACAAGCACACATCAGACACAGAGGAATTGTAGTAAATCCCTTGAAACCATGATGTCAGGGTTTCATACCAATTCTTGGGGGCTTGTGTCAGCCTACTACTATTCAGAGACAACCTGACCATAGCATAATAAATATTTAGAGACATTATTACATATACTACCCCCATAGCATATGTAATTAATGTCTATTTTATATGTACATAATATAGAGACATTATTACATATGTACACATAAAAACATTAATATTTAAATAAGTGGAATCACTATAATAGAGACATTATTACTCATTACATTAAGTTTTACTAGTCATGAAAGAAAACATAAAAATAAACCAAAAACATTTATAAATAAACATTTTTAACATGAATCTACAAATAACTTCTAAACCTTAAGCAAAAATTAGAATATTATTTCAGATTCTTAATTCTCATGCAAAATAACCTAGGGTACCCCACCAGAAGTACCCCTGAATTATTACTCCTTCAGGTACTTCTGTGTACTCTGAGTAACACTTGCTCATTTTGCTAAAAACCCTCCCAGTTACATCATACTACATGTAGTGACAGGTCTACATATGTAATTAAGGTTCATTCAGTTCGGGAAAAATCTACAAATAAGGTTGACATCATTGAAACCTTAACTACAGTGTCACAACAACTGTAACTGGCTGGTCAAAAGCCATTTGTGGCCCTTTTTGGCCCAATTTGGCTAACTACGCCTGGTTAAGATCAGCCCACTGGTCATTAAAGGGTCCCAGTGCCCAAACCATGGCTGCAGGCTCGTCACAGCACTCCTTAGTGTGTGTTACAAGCCTCACTTCAGCCCTCTGCCACCTGTAACCAAGGACTACAGGTGTCTAGGCAGTGCTACAGGTCACCAATGCCTAGTAGGAGGCTTGCACCAGCCAAACAGAGTTCTGAGTTCGCCTCCAGGGCCCAGAATGAGTATATAAGGAGCCCTTCTTGACCACGAACTCAAATTCCCCATCTTCATTACCATTTACCAGCAATAACCACCTCCCACAACCAGTTTTTCACCTGTTTTTGGGCCAGTTCCTGCTGTTTTTCATCCTGAATTTCAACCAACAACATCACTGTTCCCCAGCACTCTTCCAACACCTGTTACCCAGTTTTCTGAGCGCTCCCAGACCAGTTTTCACCCACCTGAAGTCCCCTTGGCTTAGAAATAGTACTAAGTAGGTAATATTTCCTTGATACTTCAGTTGTAGGCATTTTGTCTGGGCATACTCCTTTACACAAAGGACCAGATCATCAGGTACATCAAAAATACCCCTGTTTAACAGGTCCTGATTCCTTGGAGGGCACCATAAAAACCCCTGTAACTCAGGCCCCTCCTTTTATAAAAACTTAACAGTTTTTATTATTTCTTTTCTTAATATCAATTACCTCCCACCCCAAGTGTTACCCACACTTGTACACATTTTTTCTTAGCTTTGCACCTGGTGTAGCTAGAAGAGTCTAGCTCTTGGCATCACCCAGGCTGACAGCTTGTTTCAAGCTGTATAGAGACTTCACCACTTTCAGGTGGGGGCCTTCCTTTGAGATCTTTCCGGGGTCTTTATGTAGATTTCCTCCTCAAAGGGTGCAAATAGAAACACACTTTTTACATCAAATTTCTTGATAGGCAGTTGGAGATCAATAGCCAGAACAAGCAACGTGAGGAGGGAAAGAAATTTACCCGTAGGAGCAAATGTTTCAAAGAAGTCTTTGCGGTAGGTTTGCAGGAATCCCTGTATGCAGAGTCTGGCTTTCTGTTTCTTGGGTTACAAATTTGTCTTGGTTTCGTCTTGAATACCCACATGTTCTTCAGAAATTTGGTGTTACAACCATACTCCGGAAGTCAGGTACTTCCTCAGTCTTTCTCATACTCAGAATTATCCGCTCACTCCGAACCCTCTACATCGATGCACCCTTTCACCACAATAACTGCTCATACTGACTCAACATTCAGTTTCACTCAGACCGAAATCAAGCCTTAGTTACTCGGACTCAACTGAATCAATCATTGTAGTTGTTTGCTCTTTCCTTTCTTCTCTCTGTTTCTCTCCATTCTCAAAAGGCGACGCGTGTCCTTTCTCCTTTGTCTACACATCCACAAAGGATTGACCAAATATTTGTACATATAAGAATGCTGCCTCTTGACTGTTTGTTTTTCCTCTCTCTTTCTTCATGCTCTATTGGAATCAATACTCTTGACTATCACATCACTACAGTCAGACTAACTCAACTCTGTGCCACGCACAACTATCTCCGCACCTCGTGCAATAAACTGCCCTCGCTAGAGGTTATGAGCCCAGCTGTAACTCTATTCAACTACTGCTTAAAAATCTGCTACACTATAGTCTTAATTACATTATATTTCATCCTCCGAGATCTTTTCGCCACTCTCACCTTAAGAATCGACTCTCTTGAAAAACAACTCAATAGTTGCAAGGAACTTGTCAACGCTAAGATCGAACTCGGCCTATAAACATCTCACACCATCTTCTCCTTCGACGATATGGCCAACAACACTCTTAATCCACTCAACCCCTCTATCAACTTAATTCCCAAACTTGAAGATACAAATTTTTTTGAATGGAAAAGAACCATCACCGGGCATCTCACCGCGATGGGGAAACTCAAATATATCAAAAGCGAAGTGGTCAGACCAGAAGACGATGCCGCCGCCGAAATTTTCATTCAAGAACGTGCTCAAGTTTTGCAAGCCATACGCCTGACTATCAGCAAAGAGAATCGATCCGCCATCATCCACTTTGATGATCCTCACTGTGCCTTCAAGGCTCTCGAAGAAAAGCACGGCAGCAATGATGCTTTCATGATTGCTAGCACCATCGCTGTAAGACTCAAAAGTGGTTGTGAGAACCCTTTTGCTGAATGGAGAAGGGTATGGTGGAGTTGCAAACTCTGCCCTTCTATACTATCAGATAACAAGACCCACCAAGCTTAGCTTGGCAAGTTTTAATCAAGTGATAGGGGTGGTTGGTTCAAGATTTCTTTGTTTGATCACAGTTTAATGATGTAAGAATTGAGTTTCTGAGAGTATGAGAGTGAGTTTAGTGTGTATTACAAGTGTAAGGGTTGTTATTGGGTGTTATAAAGGTTGTTACAGTATGTAATGGTAATGGTATGGTATGTAATGGTAGGGGGTATGTGATTTGTGGGTACTAAACTGAGGGGAAAAACAACTGGGAGGAGAGCCTCCTTAAATAGACAACAATGAGTGATTTTGGCTCCAAGGGAGCAAGAGAATGAGAGATTTTAGCTGGTCAGAGCTGTACAATGAGGTAATTTAGCTGGTTGGACAGCCCACATGATGTAGTTTGAGTTATTTTAGCTAGAAGAGGCAGTGTACATGAGGGGTTTGTGCTAGCCTAGCAATCTGCATGATGTCATACAGACTGCATGAGCTATCCTGACATCTGCAGGAAGATTATCACATGACCTGACAAGCTGCATATGCTGTACACCTGACCTGACAGGCTGTGTAAGCTGTGCACCTGTCAGAAGATTATGATGTCATATGTTTACCTGTGTCCTGTAGTGAAGTATTTGTGTCATTTGTGTTGTGTAGTTGTCCTGTGTGGTTGATTGAGTGTAATTGAGGGTTGTACATGTCCAGAGGTGTGTAACATCCATACTAGTAGAGTTACAGAGATGGCTCCAGTGGTGACCATGGGTGAAATGGGCCCTAGAGTCCCATTTCTTAAGTCCAAATAAGTGTTAAGTGAGAGGAAATATAAGAAAAAATGATAAAAGAAAAGAGTAATGAAGAATAATAAAAAACTTTGAATTTTTACACATTCAGCTACCACATCGCCGACATAGTTCACTTACGATTTGAAGATACTTCTTCCCTGGACGACTACATCTCCCAGATTCGAGCTCTTCACAACAGACTCAACGACATGACTAAGGACAACGAAGCTTTTCAACTACCGGACAACGTGTTAGCCATATTCATGATCATTAATCTTCCAATGGACGAGTTTCGCCACATCATTCAATCTCTGTTCTCAAACAAATCGGTCAGCGTGAAACAAGTCATCAGTCGATTAAATTCCGAGGCTGCCATGGTGAAGAGCTCAACGGCCAAAGAAACCGCGATGTATGGATTCAAGAAAAACAAGACAAACAGCCAACACAATAACAAAAACGACAGATGCAACATCCACAAGTTCAGCTCGCATACCAATGCTGAATGCAACGCCCAAAAGAAAACCGGAAACAAGCCCGCATCAAGTGCTCCTCGACTTCCATCGGCCAATGCTGCGACGGAGGTACTGGACGATCAAGCAGATGAGACTCCGGATTTAGCTTCCCTCATGATCGAGAATGCTTACGTTGTAGTCCACAACCCAGAGTTAGACTATTACTCATTCACCGGACATTTCATCGCAGATTCCGGAGCAAGTATTCACCTTGTCAACGATTACAACATGCTCATTAATCCAGAAAAGTGCGAACCTCGCCTTATCAACACTGCTAAGTCCGACACTCAAGTACGAGTCGACATAAAAGGAAGCGTTCGCGTTCTGGCACGAAATCATTTGGATCAGAAGGTCTCCATCGACATCCCCAACGTTTTCTACTGCCCAGACCTTGCAGCAAATCTCCTATCTATCAAACAGATTATCAAGACCGGTGCTGATGTATCTTTTCTCAACAACACCATGACGATCGAATTCAAAAACGAGAACGTGCACATCACTTCTGTTACGCTCGGGAAAGAATTATGGACGGTCAGTATTCTTAAACCCCAATCCTTGGACATCATCGGGCTATGCGCTAATGTATGGCATGCTCGGTTCGGCCATCCATCAACAGTACCGCGTGGATGGAGATAAACTCCCCCACAAGCCCTCTTTTTGTGAACACTGTGTAAAAGGAAAGATACAGCGAAAACCTTTTAGTTCAACTTTGCCTATTTCATCTCGTCCGCTTTACCGAATCTATTCTGATATCATGGGTCCCATGCCATTAGCAACCAACAATGGATTTCGCTACATTCTTACATTTATTGATTGTTGTACTCGCTTCTCAAAAGTCTACTTACTCAAAAGAAAATCTGAAACTCTGTCGCGATTCAAAGAATTTGTATCATATGCCGAGAATATCATGTCTAGTTCCAACCTCAAAGTCTCTATACTACACACTGATCGAGGTGGTGAATATAACTCAAATGAATTCACAGCTTACACCAAATCTAAAGGCATTTCCATCGAGCAAGCGCCCGCAAATACACCACAACAGAACGGGGTCGCCGAAAGATACAATAAGACTTTAATACAGAAAATGCTGGCAATAATGAGCGCCGGTAATCTCCCAAAATGGCTATGGGGAGAAATAGCAATAACAGCTTCCCTGTTAATTAACATTGCTCCATCCTCAACTCTAAAATTCGACAACCCTCACAGGCTATGGATGCATCACAGTGATCCTAAGGGATCACACCAGAAATTCGACTACTCATTCCTACGAATTATTGGTTGCAGAGCCTATGTTAAGTTAGACAAAAGAGATAAACTATCGTCAAAAGCCTCTGAACTGGTTATGATAGGGCTATGATGCCATATCCCAAAGCATATCGCTTACTAGACCCTCAAAACAAGAAAGTCATTATCTCTCGAAACGCTACATTCAACGAATCTCATTTTCCATTTTCTGTGACATCCCAATCATCATCTGACACCCAGTTTGATTTCGACTCCAATGATGCCCTTTTCAAACCTATCGACAAGTCACCAACTGTCACAGAGCCTGTGACAAGTGACACACATACACAACAGGAGGGACAAAGGGACATTCATATAACGGAACAAAACAACTCCGGAAACTCCAATCCATCCCATTCACCTACTAACACGCAACCATCTGACAACAACAACACCATATCGTCTCGTCCCTCCAGAAACTGCGGAAGACCCAACTTCTACGGAAATCCTGTAGCATACATGTCTCAACCCAACCCAGACGAGCCTACATACAGGCAGGCAATGGCCTCAGCGGACCGAGAACATTGGATCAATGCGATGCAAACCGAGTACAATTCCCTCGTCCAACACAACGTCGGTGAACTCGTCGAGCTTCCTCCTGACGGACATCATATCGGAGGTATGTGGCGCTTAAAGATTAAACGAGACCAATTCGGAGAAATCATAAAATATAAAGCTCGATGGGTTGCTTTTGGTAACCATCAAATCCCCGGAATTGATTTCGACCAAACTTATGCTTCCGTCGGTATTTCAGACACTCTCCGAATCTTATTCACTCTTGCGGCAAATGAGGATCTCGAAATGGAGCAGTTCAATATAGCCACTGCGTTCCTCAACGGCCGTATGGAGCATTCGGTATACATACAACAGGTAACTGGATTTGAGGACCAATCATATCCCAATCGCGTGATCCGCCTTGACCAATCTCTTTATGGCACACGACAGGCTCATCGACAATTCAACATTGATCTCAAGGAAAAGTTATCGTCACTCAAATTCACCAGCACATTCGATGATGATTCCTTATACATCAAACGAGATGGCGACAAATTCGTTTACATCCATATGCACGTGGACGATGGCCTCGTTTTCTCTAACTCTAAAGACATGGTCGAGTCATTCAAAGAGGACTTCAAGAAATGCTATTCTTTGAAATGGAACGAGAATCCATCTCTCCACCTTGGACTCAAAATCACCCGAGATCGCACCAACCACCGAATTATGGTGTCCCAAGAACACTACTTGAAAGAGGTACTTAAGCGATTTGAGATGCTCGATTCAAACCCTAACACCACGCCTCTCCCCAACAATGTCGCTCTTCAAAAAGCCACCCAAACCGACAACACCTTGCCGTTCCAACAAGCTATTGGATGTTTATCTTACGCCGCCATCTGCACCCGACCAGACATCCAATATGCAGTCAACTATCTCGCACGATTCTCCGCGTGTTACGACCGTACCCACTGGACTGCCGCTAAACATCTTCTTCGTTACATCAAAGGGACCCTTGACCGAGGAATCGTTTTTGCCAAAAATGACGACATCCCCAAATCTAAGATCATCGCCTATACTGATGCCGATTACGATTCCTGCACAATCACCCGCCGATCTACCACCGGACACGGAATCATGTAGCGAGGCAGCCTTATCTCCTGGAAAAGCAAGAGACAACGCACTGTAGCCCTCTCTACCACTGAAGCGGAATATATGGCCATATCCGATGCTGCGAAACATCTCCTCTGGATGCGCCGAATGATTTCCTTAATAACTCAAACCCCCATGGAATCGGCCGACGTCATCACCGACATGGAACTTTTTAATGACAATAATGGAGCCATATTCCTCTCTCAAGAATCAGCTATAAACCAACGTTCTAAGCATATCGACATACGCTACCACTTCATCCGTGATCTAGTCAAAGACAAGAAAATCCAGACTCGACACATTGACACCAAATCTATGCCGGCCGATATGCTCACCAAGAACGCAGGTGCGATTGTTATTGACCGATGCCAAAAGATCTTCAACAACGTCGCCATTCGTGAATTATCAGAATAATCCTGAGCAGGGGGGGCTGTTACAACCATACTCCGGAAGTCAGGTACTTCCTCAGTCTTTCTCATACTCAGAATTATCCGCTCACTCCGAACCCTCTACATCGATGCACCCTTTCACCACAATAACTGCTCATACTGACTCAACATTCAGTTTCACTCAGACCGAAATCAAGCCTTAGTTACTCGGACTCAACTGAATCAATCATTGTAGTTGTTTGCTCTTTCCTTTCTTCTCTCTGTTTCTCTCCATTCTCAAAAGGCGACGCGTGTCCTTTCTCCTTTGTCTACACATCCTCAAAGGATTGACCAAATATTTGTACATATAAGAATGCTGCCTCTTGACTGTTTGTTTTTCCTCTCTCTTTCTTCATGCTCTATCGGAATCAATACTCTTGACT